CTTTCCTAAGGAAAAACAAAGCATTTGACTGTCCTAGATCATCAAGATTGATGATCTCAGCCATGAAGGCGGGGCCAGATGTGGCAAGACCGGCGTAACATGAAAGAAAAAGGTAAGTAAAATCAGTTTCACTGAACCGGGGTTTGGAGGGGGGGAGGGGCAGACCTAAACAGCCACACTGGCACTTTAGTGTCAAGAAAAGATGTTTGTATTCCTGACTCTATACTGTTCCTTTAAATACCAATTGTAAGTTATTATTACTAATAGCCAGTATATATTTGAGGTAAGAAATATACTTAGAGGTTTCCAAGCTCAAGGCTGTTTTGTGCACTAATAACATCTGTCCCTACATATACAAAAACATGTAGCATACCATGTTGTCATAACAACCACAACTGTAAAGCTCACACTATGCAAGTGCACTTCAGCTGTGATTGGCCTCAGTGAGTTAGATGTAGAAGATATATGCTTCATTTGCATTTAAGATTCATGTACATGTCAGAAACACGCTATGTGTATTGAACTGTAATGTTGTAATATGCCAGATTCCTATGTTGATCGTGTTCCTTTGGGTTCTAGTGACTTAACTTTATTTTAAGTTAATTTCTGTTATGTGAATTGTTTGTTTGAATGACACATGAACCTTACATACATGTTGAACTCATATCACTGGCCTAATGTTCATATGTTTTGAGATGTTATTTAAAGGGTAACCATCATGCAACTTTTTTCTCTGCAGCAATGGATTCCACTTGCAATTTCATTATGCTAGCAAAATTGCTAGACAGTTTACCGGTGGAAATATATCATCATTCACATTGCACCTGCCTCTCCGTAGACAGACATTCGGCATATCCCTCATGCCGATGTTTGTCTGAATTAGAAAACTCCTCTGGAATTCCGTATTATTATAGGAGCCTTACCAGATCTCCCAAATTTAAGCTGTCTATAAATGAATGGTCGTTGAGCTTCTGATAGAGAAAACGACTTATCCGAAGACCAACGACTACCACACTGCCACCCTTTATCGTTATCTCAGTCAAAAATAGAGAATCTTGGCATGCCTGTTGTTGCTATGGATAGATTGTTGCAAATGCAAGGGGTTTTGGTGGAGAGAAGGGGAGAAGACTTACCAGTCAGCAGAGACATTAGAAGGAACCTGGCTAAATTTCCCACCCTCCCTCCCTGGTTATGGAAGTTGTTGGTGGTTTGGTGTCTTGCTGTTTGTTTCTTGTTTTGTCACAGCTTGGCGGGGTCCCTGGACAGTGCAACTGGGAATAATGGAGGAAGACACAGAGTCAAATCGGGGAGACGACAGACCGCACGAGGGCTTATGGCAAATGCCGACTGTTGAGGCTCTTGGGAAAAAGAGGAGTAGAACTGCCTGTTATGTTTATTTGAATTGAGTTGAATTTAACAAAGCTTTGGCCATTGCCCATATCCACAGAAAAGGTGTGTGGTGTCTTATTGGGGAAGCAACGGGGAAAAGGAGTAATGGGTTAGCAGTCATGTGTTATCCTTGTCCATAGATGAAAGTTGCTGCCCACGAAGGCAGGCTAGTGCAGTGCCGACTCCGTTAGAAGGGAGGATAAGTATGATGAAAGCTCCATTTTTTGGCTGCATCGAACAAGAGAAATACACTGGCTTGGAGTTTAAAAATCAAATACAGGTTCACTTTAAAATGTTATTACCTAGACATAACAAGCATTTTTATGCAGAGTTGTTACTTGGTAACTTGAGTTTGTCTCTTTATACCTAGATTAGACAGGTTTTAATTTTTGGAGAAATAGCGGTATATAATGTAGCATGGAAACGAGTAGATAAATATCGCTTAATACCCCCTAATATTTTCTATTGGAGCCATTAAAAAACAGCTGGAAATTACTAGTTAGCAACACCCATTTCAAAGATTAGCTTGTCAATAAACTTAACATCTGAAACAAGCTTGAAGGGATTTTTTTTTTTAATTAAATAACGACAATAATTGTTCCATTTGTAAAACTTTATACGTAATTTTGCTATTTTGAAGTTAACAGATACTAGATTGCAAGAAGTAGTAAAGTTACTTTCAAGAACAGATATTTCTACTTCAGTATTGATGTACTTGAAACTGATATTAAATGATCAATCCGCATATAAATTATTTTTACAAGAGCATTTACGGTACATGTTTTTAACCACTGTGATGGATCGCCTGGCACCATGACTGGGTGCCTCCACTTATCGATACTCCTAGTGCTCACCAAGGACTCTAAGCACTCCACCAGACACCATCAGCATCGTAGTACCTACGTCCAGCGTTACAGCTTGGCTGGGAACTCGTCGTCCTCCACCCACCCTGGACCCAAGACCAGGATCCAGCTTCCAGTGGGTGAACCTCTCCTACTCTAGAGAGTAGGGCAGGAACAGCTCTTATAAGAGCTAGTGATTATAATCCAAGGGGAGTATAGTGATATAGCAATCCCCAGGGTAGATACAGCTGTTTCCCCCACACATGAGATGAGACTCTATATTGAGGATAAGCAGCAACTGATTTTAATGGTGCCATACTCGGCCTTTTATGACAATCCCAATGCAAGGGGCACTCCCACATGGACCTTGTGGGGAACTACGGTACAAAGTCACAGACCAATAATAACAGTGTTACAATGCATGAAACTCCCACACATAGCATACAATCCCTCCCCTCTGCCTGGGAGATAATTGAGTAAGATACTGTATTAACTCAATTATCGCCAGGCAGAAAAAAAACATAAACAAATGTTATATCCCCTGATAGCCCTGATCTGGGTGACCAACATATCAAAAAATCACCCAGATAAGTTTAGGGGTTCAGGAATTCTATGGAAGTCAAATTTTGATAGACTGTATGCATGGTTCCAAGCCCAAAACAGTTCCAGAGAATCAGGCTGTGCGGTCGGTCCACTTCAGGAATTCGAAGCAGAATACAAAATACCAAATGTAAGAGTTCGTATAGCACTTAGGCTATGTTTCTGGTTCGGGAGCTTATTCCCACCGAACGCCGTTCGACTTCCGTTCGAATAGCCGATCGAGTGTCCGATTTGAGTTCCATACACTCGACGACCAAACACTGCTCATTGTGCCACTGCTTCAGGAGTTCGAAGTGCCACTTCGAACCGCTTCGGGAGTTCGAAGTGCTGCTTCACAAACCGTTTATTACAGGGGCCATATTCACAAGGCAGGAGGCTGGCAAACAGGCTTCTCCAAAAACCATTTTTCATGCCATATTACAATTAGAACCACTCTGAGAGCGACTTTCATCTCATTTATGATAAGATAATACCAGATCTCCAACCTAATTGTTTTGTTCTGATCCAATTTAGTGCTCATAATTGTTTACTCTTTCAAACTTTTTAGATACAAAGTTTATCAGCAAATATAACAACACAAACATTTACTGCCTTTAATGCATATAGCAGGTGACAATTTGGCTTTTTTACTCAAATATAATATTTTGAAGAGCTATCCGTAGATATCTAATGTGCAATTTTGGATAATATCCAGGACCTGACTTCCTATACTTGCAAGTGCCATAGAGATGTTTCAAGCTATTTTGTAGAATTCAGCAAACATCAACATACATATTCGCCCTCCAGTTCTGTGTAGCCAGTGGATCCGGTATCTTTTTAACTACTGATCCTTGGATGGCTCTTGAAAATCTTCCCACTCACAAGAAAAATACACTCCGTTATAGAAATAATTGCTAATTGCCTTGAAACACAGGACATGCAGCAAACCATGCATATGAGATTCTTACGATATTAACCAACCAAACGAGCAATGAATAAAGAGTGTGTAATTAGGAGGATGTTCATGGGCATTATAAGTAAATGTTCACAGTTTTGACACACAAACTTTGGAGGATTAGTATATATTTACCCATATAATCCACTTGAATGGATTACTGACTTCTTATTTTTCTTAAATGAGAGATGTACAGTTTTATGCAGAATTAACTGGATTACATAATATTTTTTTTTTTAACAATTCTTTATTTTTGCATTTTTCATAAAAGAAAAGTTTTTACAGAAATGTAAGAAGGTAGGTTAATGCATGGTTTGCACTTCAAGGATTACATTCGTTTGTGCAGTATAATTTCTATCGTACGCATACATATGGTTCCAACAATAGGGCGGATGTCTCCCCAGGGAGGGTTTGGTTTTCGGGTCAGTACTGTTCCTGGCCTTAGCGGGCCCTTGTGATATTGCTGTCTAGGTCCCTGGTTGTCGGGGGCCCGTCTGCTATTATGTTGTAGTGGCTGCCTTTTCAGTGTGATTGTGTTGGTTGTGGTCCGGTGGTTAAGCACTATTAGGCAAAGGTTTGGGTCCCTGTTACATAATATTTTTTAATAAAAAAAATAATAAATTTAAATTTTCCATCTGCTCACTTCCTCTTTTCTTTCCTCCAAATCTTGTGTTTCCCTTTTCAACTTCATTACATGTAATATGCCATCCTAAATATTGTCTGTTTCGAGCAGCGGTCACTGTCTTAGAACCGGGAAATCCAGGTTTGGAACCTGGTGAGACCACCTCACCAGTAAGTGTCTTTGGGCAAGACACCTAATGATATATGTATCTTCCTTCCACAAATCTGTATAGGCTGTAAGCTTATTTGAGCAGGGCCTTTTTCACCTAAAAAAATCAACTTTTTAGAATTGTAGTTTGCTGAGAAATAATACTATATAGATTTCTGTAAGGGTGCACACAAACATAACCGTGGTTAGTATAATTGCTAAATGCTATGAACGTAACTAATCAGAAATCTGACCTTGCATGCATAGCTTCATTAATGTTTTTAATGTTTTAAGTTAATTTCAGCCAGGTTGGCAGCTGTACAATAAATCCTGTATTCCACTACTGCACAGGTTGTTGTGGAATATGCACAACACTCCCATTGAAAATAATGGGTATACCAGAACTGTCTGAGACAGTGCTCTGCAGTCGGTGAGCGACGGCATATCAGTGTGCCACAGCACTGTGCTAGATGTGCCGCCACATGGATGCTAAGAGCAGTGCTGGATGTCCTGCCACCTGCACAAGAAGAGTTTTTCTTCGGAGCAGTGCTGCTGCTCTGTGCTGGTTGTGCTGCCACAGCGCAAGAATAACGGTTCCCAAGAACAGTGCTGCGGCTCTGCGATGGTTGTCCTGCAAGGAGGGAAAACTATTAGACCTAGCACCGGAAACACATAGTATTATGGGTACATGTACAAGTCTGGTAAGAAGTTCACAGTGCTATTCCCAAAAGAGTAGCAAATGTCGGGTTAGCACATTGAGTACTTAGCTGTGGCATATTTTCAATGGGCACATTGACTATAATATTTATTAATGGGCACACTGCTGGTGGTATTTATTAATGGGTACAGTGAATGTGGTATTTAATAAATATCAAACTTACTGTGATATTTATTAATTGCTATACTTACTCTGGGATTTATTAATGGGCACACTGACTATGGTATTTAATAATTAGCAAACTTACTGTGGTATTTATTAATAGGCAAACTGAATGTGACATGTTTAATGGGAAAACTGACTGTTGCATGTTCTGTTTATGCACTTTATTACTCCAATCTTTAATATATATTTTTGCTTGTGGTATACCACGGAATTCTGGGAAAAGCTTTGTGTGCCTCGGATGAGAAAAGGTTGAGGAGCACTGGTCAGACAGGTAGCAAATGCTTCTTAGTTTGGGGAGAGCTTGATGCAGAGTCAGAACTTGGGGAGTTGCAGTAAAAGTATGAACTTTTAAAGAGTATCTCTCTTTTTATTTATTTGTATAAGTTTTATGTTATCTATGCTATTCAATAAAAAGGGAGATCAGCTCCAGCCTAAAGTATTCATTAAAACACGAAAATGTTTTCTCAAATATTTACTTTTTGCTTTCTTATAAAATTCTAGATATATCAGCCTCTGCAAAAGAGTGAACTCAAGTATTTTATATGAATGATGGTGTAACAGATCTCATCCAAAGAAATCTTGCCTTTTTTTTTGTTTTGTTCCAACAAATAGACAATATCTGCCAAAAATAAAAGTATTAGATAAGAAATTCTACAGACGATACAGCAATTGGAATATTTTCTGTGCTCCTTCTCAAGAATCATGAAGTCTATAAATATGTTTGTATTTGGCAGCAGAGAACTACATTGCCTATAGACTGTCAGAATGGTGTGCAACTTAAAATAGTCCCTATTCTTCCAAATCCTTAGTATTAGGGTACAAGTTGTCAAAGGATGAATACTTGTACTCGTCATGAAGAATATAAGTAAAAAGGAGCCAAATCCACACCGTACTGAGCAAGATTTTAAGCAAATATTAAAGTGAAATAATTTATTTTATTTTGCTTCTAAAATAGCTCATGTATTAATCAGAAATAAACGATGAAATATTACATATTTTCTTTTAATTATCATACTATATTGTATTTAAAGATAGAACACAAATGATGACCTGGTTAGTCCGTTAATGTCTTTGATCTCATGGATGTTTTGGAGACAAGTTATAAATGTATATGTCACCTAAGTATTTGTAGTTTAGATTCAGAGATAAACACAGATCAAAAATGTTTTTATTGTGCCATTTGCATGACGTGCAGTAATTATTACATTGAGCAATAAACATATTTCCAGTGCTTTTGGTTGACTCAGAATGTAAATCTTTCAAAATGAAGCCTCTATAATCTAACCGCAATGCCGAATCTAACAGGGTAGTCACTAAACTATGAATTATCATTGTTAACACGTCATCATTTACAGGAAAATGGAAACCAAACCATAGAATATTACAGATTGATAGATAGACAGACCGACCAATAGAATTTCACACAAAAGGTAAAAGCCACAAACAATTGTTTTCCCTTTTTTCTTATGCCTTCATTGCATTCATGTCTCCATTAAACAAACCACCGCCCATCGTATAAATAAATATGCATTTTGGGAAAAAGAAAGCATTGGGTTAGAATTGTGTCAAAAAGCAGGGTTCACTCCACATGTCTTGACATCAGATACATGAACAAACTTCAAATTATTCATTAAAAAAAAACCCATTAAAAAACATATAAACAGGCAACAATAAGGAACCTGAAACCATGTGTAATTTCAATAGAAATAAACAGCTAACATCTCGTGATAAATAACAGTCTCCTGGACAAAGCCCAAAGAAATAATAAAAGAATTATCATAGTAATTATATACATACTGTAAGAAAATTGCACGCAAGAAATAATATTTAAAGTAACAGCATTACAAGTGAATACAGCAATGAAAGGCAAATATATACAGAAAGTTATATAAAAGCTAAGAAACACTAGGAAAACAACAGAAAAGCTTAGCAAGAAATAAAATCAGAAAAACTCAGAGAGGAGAAGAAAAAAACAACAAAATATTAACTGTACATCTGTGTGGTGTACCGAATCAATAAGATCTTTAGAAAATCCAAGTAACATGTTTATCATTAGCCAGTCTGATCCTAAGGGAGTAATTCAAAAACGTAACACAATTCATAGTCCTCACTAAAGCTTCAGTTTGTTAATTCTCTTCTCTTTATGTTTCCTTAATGCATGATGATAGCCTCCCTTGCATGGCACAGCTCTATGACCTGAATACACAATTTCTTTCATATTTTTCTACATTTCACAGTTTTTGACCACTGACTGATTAGTGGCTGCTAAATATTTCATTTCGATTAAACGATTGAAAGAGATTTTTTGAGAAATAAGAAATGTAGAACCAAATAAGAAATATAGGACCAAAAGTAAAGCAATTATTAAGCAAAAATGATTTACCCCTCTGAGGAAGAACAAAGTAGGTTCCCATTATGATACTTTTTTTTGGAAACAGTATTCATAATGGGCTCACAGAGAGATGTCTGTTTCTTCATAACAGATTCAGTGTTGGTTACTTAATTTGAGATGTCTTTGATATAAAGATTGGTCACAGATATAAGGAGATGGATTAAGATCCATCCATTCAGTCAATAGGGGCCGCTTCACATTTACCAAGAGTGAAAGTGTGTCATGTGTCTACAGCATTGTTATAGCTTTCACTTACATTATTTTGCCTCTCACCTTTCTCTTCTCCCTCATACGATGGCAGTTTAAAATGTTCATGTCCAAAATAACCATAGTAAGCCAGACAGAGCTGGAATAATCCAAATAATAATAAATATGTCCTGGCCACTAACATTTTATTAATTCCCAATTGTTCAATGTTCATTTTACTACCTAAACTTGCCAATGACTCAAGAAGCACTATATATATCTCATCATATTGCACACACACATCTACTACACATGCAGCACACCTACATACCACTATACACCCAAGCAAGCTTATACCTTAGACCAGGGGTCAGCAACCTACGGAATGTGTGCCATGCATGGCACTCTAGGTGCTCTTAAACGGCACTCAAGGCTGCCAAAGCTAAACTGTCTCTGACCCATCAAAAGTCCTTAGTACAAACTGAGTGGTTAGGGGCAATCCTCAATTTACGCATTTTAGCACTTATAGGAAGTAACCTCAGATTACTTTGTCCTAGTACTTGTGAATGGGAATCCGCACTGGATTAGAGCAGCCTGCAAAAGCTATTGCAGCTCCTGCCCTTGATCTGTACTTGGCCAGCCCGGTCCCCACCAGATCGCAGGGAAGCCACCCACACTACTAGATATACACTGAACTTCAGAATAAGTCTCCCCCTCATACAAATAATGCAACCATCCCCCACACACAAACACACAAGCAGCCTGTCACATACAGTACCCTAAGCAGCCCCACGCGTACACACACCAAACACACATTGTGACATCTTACACAAGCAACCCCCTTATACACAGCCCACTTTTACAGGGATCATATACAATACCAGAAACTACTCATGAATGTATACTTTAATATATAACAGCTCACACATGCACAAGTACAACGCTACAAAGCAACTGCAGCACCCATGAATAACACAAGCAAAATACGGCAACATATTATACACATCAATTTGAAAACAGAGGATCAGCACGCCAAGAGACTTCAAAATCTTATTTTGGCACAGTACTACTGAAAGGTTGCCTATCCCTGCCTTAGACCATTCTTGTTCACCTTCTTGCCTGTATAGTTCACATCCAGAAACATTAGGAATTGTAATGTGTAAGGGATGTCTGGCTTCTATCATCCCAGCCAGTCTTCTGATGATATGAAGTACCCTCTGCGATAAAAGAACTTTCACACAATGCAAATATTGCAAGTAATTTACATCTTCAAAACCAATTTGTATCGACACTACTCTACTAGTTAGATAAACCCTAGATCTCATCTAGAGGCAAGCTTTTCAATTCTCAGATTAAGGAGGTCCCTGGAGAAACCTTCCCTTTCATATGTGGTGACAACACATTCAGTTTTACAGAGTATTTATATTAGTTGTACAAATCTATAGCCAGGTAATGACCATGTGTGAATAGCAAACTATGTTTGCTACTCTGTGATCTCTGGAGTAAATCGGGTGCATTTTAGTCATTGATATCATCCCGATACAAAACAATTCATCTCATGCATCTGCCAAATACATGATAACATTATGTACTCGTTTCAATATAGTTGTTTGAATCTGTTGAAGAAACAATGTTCTCTCGATATATGGAGAAATGCACTTTTACAAGATACAATAGATTATTGCACATTATATATATGGCAATACGACATATAAATGGTTACTCCGAGCACCATGACCACCTTATTGATTTGAAGTGTTCATGGTGCCTAGGGTCCGTATATGCAGTGTTTCGCTTTGAAACACGGCACATACAGAGATTAACCCCTTTGTTACTGGAGGTGTAACTTCACCTTCAGCAGCATCATTAGTCGGCCAAAGTTCCAAGCTGACTAATGTCACTTCTATGCAAAATTGGCGTTTAACACCAGCATTAACACAATACTGGCACCAGACAGCAGATCGTAGCACCATATCCTCCCCTCAGTCCAGGTGATGGGGCACCACGTTAGCAAAGGAGGATCAGGCTGAGGGAGAACTTGCAGAAAAAAAAGAGGCAAGTTTATTTTATTTTTTTGTCAAGGGTGGGTGTGAACCAGCACAGAATGGGGTTACTACAACAAAACACAGTGTTTTATGAAACCGCTGGTTATTGGTTGGAGCAACTCTTT